AATACAAAACACTTAAACTTGGTATTACATACAAAAGTTGCTAAAATAGGAAACTAATCTTGCTTCTCTGAGTACAGTTTATGACAGATGACCCACTTTCTTGGCTTTTGAGTTCTTGGTGCAGGCTGAAAACTCTCTGCGATAAGGTCCGTTCTGTTCATTAGAAAACTTGTTAGTGATGAGATTGGTGCAAAATAATACTTACATAGCCTGCATGATTTTTATTATTTACCAAAAAAAAAAAGCTTGCATGAAGAGTTGCAGCTTCCTCGGTTCTTGCACATGCTCACCCATTTTTCAGCCCTTCTCTTCTTACATGCACTATCAATATCCTTCTCCTCAGGAGGAAGCCTGGTAGTAAAATGTCAGTCCTGACTGAAAAACTGTCGACCTACTTGCAGTTTATAAAACCAGACATATTTTTAAGTGATTAGAGAAATACTTTAGAGTAGTATGCAGTATGTACGTTCAGGAGATGTTAACATGGGGATAATTTGTGCTCTGCCACGCTGAATATAAATTGTCTGTAGCTGTGCTAAATATAGCTACTTCACTTTCCACCAGTGCAGTTGAGAGCAGTACCTGATTGTACACGGAAAATACCGGTAGTGCGTGATTTCCCCTAAAGGCAAACGCATTAAATGCTTGCGTAGGTTTACGCTATGTGTGATCCTCACCTCCAAATTTAATTTCAAAAATAGCAGTATGATCAGTGTGAAACGCTGTTGGAGATATTGTAGAAAGAACGATGGATTGGAATCTGCCATATCATCTTGCTCTTTGGTTGGATTGCTGAGTTGATTTAACTTTCCCCTTCTCCCTTCCTCTCTCTTTTGTGTAGTACAAACAAAATCCAGAAATGTTTAAACAGACAGCTCGACTTTGGGCACACGTGTATGCTGGAGCACCAGTTTCTAGTCCAGAATACACCAAAAAAATAGAAAACCTTTGTGCTATGGGCTTTGATAGGGTAAGTATATATAACCTAAGTACTTTTCAGTAGGGGCAGGGCAAATATATGTGTCATTAGTATAGTATATAAAGTAGACTCGGTACTTCCATGACCTTTTGTAGGTCTCATTGTTCTGTTTTGCTAATTATTTTTAAGAATTGGAGTTTTAAAATACTACGTTGTTAGTAAATCTTGTGAGCCACCCCTGGCTTTTTTTCTATAAATTATTAGTTAGGATTTAACAAATGGTAAACTGATGTGTTCTGATTAATCTGTGAACTTTTCTTTCCACTTCTCAGAGCTGCAGTTCACACACTGAAAGTATTATTGCTTTTGTTTTCTCATTGCAGAATGCAGTAATAGTGGCCTTGTCTTCAAAATCATGGGATGTAGAGACTGCAACAGAATTACTCCTGAGTAACTGAGCCATGTAGAGCTGCTTCAGTAGTCCAGCTTGCCCGTTCTGGAGGAGCATCACCATCTGTTATTTTTAGGATTCTATATAGATTCTCTTTTAAAACTGGCACTCTTGCCTGATGATGCTATCTAGGCACTATTGGAGACTGAAAAAAACGCTCTGTAAATAAAGCTAATTAAACGTCTGTGTAAATTTAAAAAGGGGAAATACTTTAATTTTTTTTCTTACTAAATATTGTAAAAATTCTTTGAGCTCAGCTAAAATAATGGGGGAAAAACATGCCTACTTTAGTGTTTAGCAGTGTGACGAAGACTAGCAGGAACTTGCTTCAGGATTTTGATTTAGTAATTCAGAAAGCAACGTTTTTGAGTGTTAGTCATCAGAGTTGTTGGTGCCACTCATCACAGCTATCTTACTGTTTTTAACATGGATCCTATGTGCCTGTGGATTGACCTATAATTGCATGCTTGTGCTTAATAGACATATTAGGTAGGGTCGCTGAAGAGAGCACCATTGAAATACTCGAGTGTTCTTGTAACTTTTTTCCTGAAAGACTTTCAAGACGTACCCAAAGTTCCAAATGGTGACCTATGCGGAACCGTTACCTTTCTAGCTTATTAACTGGGAAACCTGATTCTCCTCTCCCTTCATCGTACAGCTGAAAACCCGCACTAAATCATGTTTCATCATCTGTGGGTACTATGTGTGCCATTTGCAGTAGTCTAGGCTCCCCTTTAAAAAATATATTTTGAATCCTCAGTAATGATTTTCATCCATCATGTTTTCTACACAACCTCGTAAGGAGTGTGCCTCGATATAGCACAAAAAGATGGAGCTGGTTTTCTTTCCTTTTTTTTTTTGTCTTAAATAGAAGTAAAATGTTCTTCAGTGCATTCTAGACAATATGATTTCACTGGGTTTGAAGGAGGAAAAAGGTGATTCTCCAGCGTACTGAGAATTAAAAAAAAATTTCTTTGAGTACTTGATACGACGCAATCAGCTGTTTTTTTGCAGCGGTTTTCTAGCTTTATTTTGGGCTTCAATTTAAGGATTGCTTACCAGGTACTTTAAAATTCATCCTTGCTTGCGTTTTTCTCTAGTTGACACATGGAGGCTGTGTTGGTATTTTTACTGTACATACTTCAAATGCACATAGAAGTAGAAGTGTGTTCTCAATTTAGCTTTCTTTTGGATTGATGTTTCTGATAAATGAGAACTGAAATCTTATCTTGGCTTGTACATACAGTCAGTCTCTTTATTCGTATTAAAATGACATTTCATCCTGAGTGCAAAAGCTTGAAAATTATTAGTTTTGCAACTTCAAACACTAGTACATCTATTTAAAGAGAGCTGTAATGTCTTTGTGAATATGATGCTAACTTTTGAGAATATATCTGACAAGGAAGTTCAGAGAAATCCTCAGACTGGAGAGTGGGGACTGTGGATAACAGAGTACTGTACCAGTCATCCTGTCCATGACTGTGTTTTCTCCTAAACTCTGGATTAATGGGGCGGGGAAATAGATGTCTGTTTGGGGTTTTCTGGAGCTATGAAGTACAAGTGGAAATAATTTCACACTTCATAGACAGTCTGTTTATATCTCATACTAGAGGAAATCAGGAATATTATTGTGTCTGTTAAATATCTGGAGCATAGTGGCAGGGGAACAGAACCAGAAAATAGAGCTGTAGAGACCTAGCCAGTCTAGGGATGTTCCCTATACTGCTCTGTCTGATGTGTCCAAATTTAAAATATTTCAGGGCACAGGCAGTAAACACTTTGAACTCATATCAGTGCAATACTAAATGCATTTCCTTAATCTTTATACTTACTGCTTTCTAAGGTGTAGTCAGTGATCAGTTTTCTTGAGTTAGTGTTACTCATTTGCAATGATGCCAAAGGAAATGAGTTGTTTTGTCTTTCCTTATATTTATTTATTTTTTTTTTAAATAAGAAGCTGCTACTGTTCAGCTGGTTTGCTAGGTGAAAACCAGGGACGGTAGGAAACTATGGCAAAATGCAGCTTGTGTTAATCTCAAGTTGCTGTCTTTTCTGTTACACAGGCTAAGAACTTCTTGATTACATCAACACCTTTTTTTTTTTTTTTTTTACCCTGGTGGTAATTGTAAGTTGCTGACTACTTGCCAGTATTCTTCGCTGCTATTTATCAAAAGAAAGAACTTGGAGATCACTGTCGGGGACATAAAACTTCTCAGTTATGGGCTTCTGAACTTGGCTTTAGATAAGATTAGTCTCCTAGGAACAGTAGGTTTTTCCAACAGTGTGTAAAGGAATAAAGGAAGGCAGGGAAAGGGGGAGGGGGGGAGAAGAGAGGAGATGGTTCTTGGGTGAGCGTGGTCACCTCTGAAACAATGCCCTGGGAAGTTTTGCTTTTGTGAAGTTACCTCATTTTCTTCGCTGCAAAACGCTTGTCTTCCCCTTTCCCCTTACGTATAGGTGTTGGATACTGGTTTTTGCCCTCCATCCATGTGCTTGGTAGCAAAGATACCTTGATGCTAGCTCAGGTGCTGGCAGGAGGGAACCTTCTCATGAAGTGAGCTGGGAAGGAAACATGACCCATTATTAAGGAGACATCTGTGGTCTGAAGTCCCTCTGAATTTTGACATGTGAGTCCTTTATAAGGAATGTTTTTGTATTCTTCGTAATTATCAGAGTTGAATGTAGGGATAATGTTGTACGAGGTTAGTTTAACTGCAGCTGGGGCTGAGCCCTAGGGATTTCGCTGTTAGTGTTCAGTTTATCATTGTAAGTTTGTAAATACAAAAGGGTAGTTCTGTTTTCTGTATGGCTGAACATCGCTATATTCAGGGCCCTGTGCATTCACAGACGTGGAGTTGCTCTGCAGTCCCTTCCAGCTGCGGACTCAGGCTGCACACTTCCCACTTTCTCACAAGAACGGCATAAAACACGGGTACAGTTGCTTTCTAAGTACAAATAAATCCTGCATTGTCTTCCTCTATTGTGTAAGAAGACTGCTTGAAACTAATTTTGAAATCTAAATGGCCCCATTTTTCCGAACAAGGTATCGGTAATGACGCTTACTGATTGCCAGAGCATCAGTTGGATTTCACCGCTGAACATTCTAACGCGCGTCCAGCAAAGTGCTTTATCCCTTGTTTATTTGGTCGGTGGGGAACAAGAAGCTCCTACCTCGTCCAGTTCCTCAAAGAGTAAAGAACAGCTTTGTTCACCTGCCCTTCCCTGTTGCCAAAAGCCTCCATCGTCCCGTGAGTGCCAAAAGCCCTGACTGTACCCCACCCCCACTCACCAAATTCACAGCCTTCTCCCGTTGCTTCTGCGAACAAGCTGCGTTCTCAGTATGACAAACCCGAACACTTCGGAGGCAAAAACTTAGGAACATATCCTTCTGGAGAGACGCGGCACTGCGTGCCATTCATTCTGCGTATTCCAAATTTTAATTTTATTCTTTTTTTTAAAAAAAAAAAAAGCTTGCCACAGAGTACATGGGGCCTTGACTATAATTGGTTCGGTAGTATTTATCCGAGCAGGTGGGTACTAATGGTGTAGGAATATGTCTTGAGGATTTTTTTAATTATCATTGTATTTAACTGTTTTCCAGGTAAATTAGTATCGTAACACTGGCATAAGGAATATAGGATCTTTTGTTGTTGTTGTTGTCTGAAAGGAGGAATTAAATAGCCAGAAAGAAGCTTACCTTGTAACGCCAGATCTGGATTCTGTGGTGTGAGTAACAGAAACATGTAAACTATGCAAATTTAAGCTTGACAGCTGTGAATCGGGCACTGCAGAGCATATGGATTGCTTGGTTCATCGGGGAAGGGGAGGGGGGAAATCCCAACGCAGTCTCAAGCAGGAGTTCTTGTTTACTGCGTGGGTCACACACGGCGAAGGGGAAACCGAACTGTGTGCGTGTCCCATGTTTCCTTTCTCAATACCAACAAAAGCTAGCTCGGACTTGGAGGCTTGCCCAAAGGGGGAAAGGTCAAATAATTCAGCAGTGGAAGTTAGTTTTGTTTAATGTCTGCTGATGAGCAGACTCAACGAGAAGATGAGGTGTCCTCTCCCGCTGTGTTTTGTTGATAGAGTTGACGAGAAGCGTCTCGGTGAGCGCGGCCCCTGAGTTGTGATCAGGCGGTTGGTTTTGTATGGTCCTGATGAGCCACAGGCTCAACAATAGATGGCAAAAGCACGCTTCGTCGTACCGCCTGTTGCGTCGCTGAACTAAAGCATGGCAGTAAAGATGCTCATTGGGTGCCTAAAGCTTTCTCTGGGAAGACCAAATAGATGTTCTCACTGTTGCTGTCCTCATTTTCCAGGCACAGCTTTCTCCTGTGGCGAGGCAAAGGGCCAGGCGCTTCTTTCTTGATGGTTTTCTGATCTATTCCAAACCCCTCAGTAAGTCAGGTAGCTTGCTCTCCCCCTTTGTGCTGTCCCTGTCAGCAGCTGCTTCGTCATCAGACTTGCGAGACCAACTGTCGTCGATGAGTTTTGCTTCTCACTTGGCTGCTCCAGCTGCAGCGCTCCATAGGCAGCAACCCCCCTTCAGATTTGTTCTCCCTGGACAAGCCCCTGCAAATCATTTGCACTGTACTGTGATGTGGTTGATGTTCCTTCTCTGCTGTTACCTGCTCTGTAGGCACCCAAACAGCTAGCCGGTCGCTTACGGTCTGAGCCCCTCGGCGCTAATGTCCGTTCAGATAGGTGACTCGACGGCCGAGGAACTGTACTGTGAAAATGCTGTACTTGTCTGTTTTACGGTTTGCGGCAACTGCTGATGCTCTGTTGTGGTGTCTGAAGGAGGCTGCCGTCCTACGAATGCTGATGTCAACTGTTGAGGAACCCCGCTTTTCACTTACCTTTTCCATATGAAATTCTGACTTTTCTAATTTAAAAAGAAAAAATAAATAAAAATTGCCACTAAAAAATATTGCAGGAGGTTGGTCCCTGAGCATCAGACTTCCTGTCCAGGAGGAGGGGGTGGGCTGGAATGCAGCATCAGTGTTTTTTGTCTTGAAAATAAAAAATACACAAACACTTTTGTACACAAATGATTTTTTAAATAAACACACATTTTAAAAGATGTTGATTTTCACTGGGAATGCTTAACAATAAATGCATGTTTCCCTGAAAGCAGTTTTCATTTATTTCTGGTAATGTGAATTGTTCTGAGATTACAAGGTCTGTACTGCCTCCATG